AATAATTTTAAAGTGTTGATTCGATCTCGCATCGTGATCATGTCTTGCGCGACTCCTTTGAGAAACATTCGTTGAAATGTTTTAAAAATGTTTGAAGCTCCAGAAAAAGTATTTCACGAAACAAAAAGTAATAAAAAATCATTTTCTTTGCAATTTGTTGCGTTTTAGATTTATCCACAAACGGTAAAAACAAAAATTAAAAAAAATAATAAAGTTGTTCCAAATTGCGGATGCCATTTCCTTTACATCCGCAATTTGGAACAACAACGCAAACATTTATATTTATATTATACAGGGTGAGATGAAAAAACTGCTGTCATTTCTAAGCCACTCGTCCGACAGCTGTTAAAATTATTCCAGTGACAGCACTTAATATTTTCACAAGCGTACAAAAGCATTTTGGTGAGAATTTTCCAGCTGGAAAACCACAAGTGGCTATCGTAAGAGAACTCCAACATTAAATGTGAATAAATCTTTTGTGTCTTGTACCATCACTTGTTACCGTCCGACGCCAAGGAAGTGGAATGAAGAAAACAGCAACATCAGCAGAAATGGTTTGAAAAGTAAAGAAGCGACTTGATCTAAACCCGCCTCGAAGTGACCGAAAAATGTCTCGTGAGCTGAACGTATCGCAATATTCCATTCGGCAAATATTGAAAAATATCCCTCTTTATTGCCCCTAGCAAATTCGTTAGATTTTCAGGCGCCATTCCATCGGAGTTATAACTATGGTTGCTGTCGAACTTCCCAATCGCACTGCAATTTCGGACAGAAGGAGGCAACCACTCACGTTTGGTTCTCGCCATAAATATGACCAGGGAAGGAAATCTTACATCCATAGCAATAAGCAAATTGAATTCCATTTTCCTACATTCTTTATAATATATTTGCGAAAGAACTTTCAACCCCATATTTATTCCGTGTTGCGTAATAATTCTGGGGTTGAAAGTTCTGTAAAATATAATAGCGGATATATGTATATGTTTTTGTTTTTCTTTTTCTTATTGTTATTATTGAACTGATGAGGATTGGTGGCTCTTTCCGAAACCTAGGCATTCCCTGACTCTCCTGCCAGGTATTCCCTGCCCCTGGTAATCATTACCGTCTTTCTCCACAAATAAATAAACGTCGTTTTTATAAAAACAACAATAATGGGATTATGCCTGACTATTTTGCAACAACGTAACTCCTAAATGTTAAGTCACATGGAAATAAAAAGAGCGAATGTTTTAAATACAAACATTTTTCTTACAAAAACTTTTCAAACTGCAATGAAATGCGTTAACAATAAAGTGATTAGAAATTTTCATATTTTTTATCTGAGGAACCCAACAACATGGACCTTTGTAGAAACTTTGCAAAAAAAAAATAATTATTCCCCACTAATAAACAGATATGTTTGAGTACAACCAATTTGAAATTCCCACAGTTAGTTTTATGAAGTTTTGGAAACAAAGAGGGTCATAAAATAAGTCACATTTTGCACTTAAACTATCAAGACTTTAGTGTTAAAAATCAAACAAAAAGGGGATTGAATTTTTTCTTGAAGAATATAATATGTATAGGTGAGTGTGTGATTCTTTTATTTGTCTTAATGTTATATTTAAATATATATCTATATGTATTTACTGTTTTCTTGGAACTTGAGTAAAAAACAAATCTAAGTATTACAGAAAAAAGGGTGAATTAAAAACAATCTGGCCATCAACATTCGCTACAATTTCGTTATCATTTTTAGAGGGAATTTAAATTCATAGACATACATACAACAAATAGGATACTTGCTACTATTCGAATTTTCACTTTCACCCGAAACACGAGGATTACTATAACATTTTGTTTGTTTTTTTACGTTTATATATATAACTACACAATATTATTATCATCAATTCTTGTTATTAGAGCAATTCCAAATTCATAGATTTGTTTTTGTTTTTAGTTGTTCGATTAAATAAAAATATAAAAATTATTTATACATAAATAATACAATATACATAATTATGTTTTAATCTAATAAGCAATAGCATTTTTTGTAACATTAATTACATAGGAAGAAGTGTTTTTGTTTGTGTAGTTGTTGGTTGGTTTTTCTAAAATAATAATAATAATGATAATAATAGGTGAGGTTAAGTTTTGTTTTACTTTTTCAGTTTGTTTTTCCATTTCGTTCAAACAAATACTTATTAAAAAAGCAATACGTTTTTTACAATACTCAAGAGTCTAATTGTTAAATGATAAGGAAATCACGGAGATTGGTTTTGTTTTTAATACAAATTATAATAAAAAATACTTTACAGCGGGTATTATATACAAAAAATAGTAGTAGATTTTGATAAATGTAGTTGCAGGTGATATATATGTTTTTGTTTCTCTCTTTCTTTGATAAAAATGTAAGCTGTGCAACGCATGATCTAAGGTCCTGGGAAAGGGAGTTTTAAACATCTGTCAAGTTTTCGAAAACATGTTTAAAGATTTGGACTTTGTTAATAAGTTCTAGGAAACTTTGAATCAATATAACATTATATTGGGATTATACCAAAAGTGGACATGGAAAAAATATTTTTCTTCATGGAGGTATTTTGTCTATTGAGAAACTTATGTACTAAATGTCAAAATGAAAATAAAATAGAATTTTTAAAACCGTTCAACAAAAAATTTACTTTTACCGACAGTTTCAGCAAGAACTTCTTCAATCCATTTAGAATCAAGAATTTCAATTCACACGCAAATGGATTGACATTTATGGCCAAATTCGTTAAATAAGAATTTATGTGAATCAAATAAACTGGAGATAGACCAAGAAACGACCCTTTATTAGAAGTCTTAATCTAAGACCGGCCGGAACTGTTGTTTAAGTCACATTCCTCACACCTTAATGAGTTAAGCGTACATTTTCTAAGAAATTTCGAGTATTATTTCAAGTCGAATTCCCGAGGTAAAGCAAACATTGGCTCTTCGTTTAAGAGGTGGAATAGAGAATTTAACTCAAAAGAGTGCAGTATTCCATGTCTTCGATCTGAAAACCGAGGGTAACAGTAGAGTGGTCTCGCACAATCTGCAATATTCTTTATCATCAAATAGTCAACTTAAATTTCTATCCTTGAGCTTGACAGCTCTTATCGAGGCTTGAAAATTCACAAAATTCTGAACACTTTTCCAAGGTTCTAAAGCCGAAAAGCCAAGCCCTGTCAGTGTAATCATGAGTGATAAGACCCATATCCATCTTAGCGTTACGTAAATAACCTAACTTCACGTTTCTGGGGCACTGAAAATCTGCGTGTAACACATGAAGAGCCATTACACCCGCTCAAAGTCACTGTATGGTGTGATGTTTTCGATGGAGGAGTCATCAAACGTTTTTTTTCTTCGAAGACGTCGCGGGCCAAACGGTTACTGTGAATGGTGAGCGCTACAAAGCAATCATCAACGACTTCTTTTTGCCGCAACTTCTTGAGTTGGGATTGGAAACATGTGGTTCCAACAGGGCGGTGCAACGGCACACACTGCACGTGCCGCAATCAGCATATCGATTGGATGGACGCATTTCCCGGGATGCGAGATCGCCTGATTTGACCGCTACAGACTTCTTTTTGTGGGTCTTTTTGAAGCCGCAGGTATTTGTCAACAAGCCTCAGACTCCTTCAGCTTTTAAGATCAATATCCGTCAAGAATGTGAGGACCTATCGTCGGAAGTTTTGGCCAAAGTGATAAAAAAAGTGCCAAAAAAAGGCTCAAATGACAATAAACTGTGAATGTATTCCGTAGATCGTCTGTGGAAGAAAAATCGTATGTATCATTTCAAGAGGGAAGATCTATAATCCTTGTATTTTAAAATATCTTTCATCGGTTCCAACATATATCCTTCTCGACTTCTATGGGTCAAATCTCTATAGATAAAAGCCTTTCTTGAGTTTTTTAGCTAAAATACTTTCTAAACGTTGCAACATTGAAGTCTTTTATTGGTTGTAGTTGTTCTATAGGATTTTTTAGTCTTATCAAATTCTTTCCAAATAAAAGAAATCCTTCTTTTGATGGACATGTAGCCGTACCAGTTTTTAATTCTATGTGGAAAGTTATGTAGTAAGTTACATAGTTATGGTATATAACTTGACACACAGAATTAAAACTAGCACGGCCAGAGGTTTGATCAACGAGAGATTTCTTTTATGATGGAATTTAGTGGGACAATTTTCCAATCGAAAAGCATTTGATGAGACCAAACATTGCTATAAATTCACTTTATATCGAACGTTGAAGAAAACCACTGACGTCTTTTTTTACGTTATTCAAAATTAAATTTACCATATTATGAAATAGTGTGTACAAATTGAAAGATACTCTACGAAAGACTTGAAATAAAAACATTTATAAAAAATACATGACAGTATAAATTCGACCTTTTAGTTTAATAAAACAAAGTAAGTTTTCTTTCCCTTTTGACCTTTCAGATCATGTGTTTTTTTGTTGATTTTCAATTAATTCTTTTTTCATTATAATTGTTTCTTGTATTTTTACGGTTATAACTTGTTGTTTTATTAAATATTATTTTTTTTGTTTTCATTATTATTAATAATAATAGTAGTTACACTAATAGTAATAATTACATTTTATAATACGTTTGTGTGTTTCTTTCTGTTGTTGATGTTTTGTTTTTAATATTGTTTTTAGTTTATGTGTGTTTTGTTATATGAAACATTTCTAATTTTTTATTAAATATTTTATTCGGCAATATTTTTGTTGGGTTATGTATGTACGATCTTACACAAATACAAATAACCTTGAGTTAAATTTTGGAGCGGAACAACACTTTTGTTGTTTTTATAATAATTTTTTTAATGTAATATGCTTTTTCTGAATTTTTCATTTTCTTTTTCAAAAGATCTACTATTATCATCGGCTAAATACAACATTACCTTCTGCTTGTTTTATATTTTGTTATATTTCTTGTTTTGCTTTTGTCATAAAGAGATTTGTAACGTTTGTTTTGTGTTATTGTTGTGTTTTTTTTTTCTTTCTTTAAATCTACCTTTACTATATATCATTATTATTAAGATTAATTATTATTATATCATCTACTACATTTACAAAGTTCAATGGTATTTTTGTTGTTGTTTGTTTGTTATGATTACAAATTAATACTATACTACCCATTTGTTTTGTATGTTTCATGTTTGGTTTTTTAATCGGGTAACATATGGACGAAACTTACGGGAAACATGCCACGACGCGATGGATCACCTTCGATAACACCCTCCATCCAATTTTCATCATCTGTTCGTTCGTTGAGTACAATGAGGACTTCGCCCTCCTTGAATTCCAATTCATCATCATTGTCGGCAGAGCAATCGTATAAGGCACGACAACGGCGATGACCAGCCTGCAAGTATAAGAAAACAATAAAAATGACATTAAGACAAACAATGCTGGAAGGGATCAAATGAGTTTCCTGCCTATTTGAGAAATATCTCAAAATATCTGTAGATCGACTACTTTCAATTAAAATATTTAAAAGGTGTTCTATATTTCAAATATATTTAGAAGACCTTTACGTTACTGAAATCCTTTAAGAATTTATATCTGGTTTAACTCTAATGAACATTTCTTCTTGTATTCTAAAAATTTTTCTTTTTTTCATTTAAAAAATACAAACAGAACAAAAGTATAGTAATCCATGCATTTGAAATACTTACATAGTTATATTTATTTCCTCCAGTTGTTGCTGTCAGTACACTGCCACTAACTCCGGAACCACTTGAACTACCGCCACAAATACTAAGGCCACCGCAACCGCCTCCACCAACACCACTACTACTGCATGGACCCTTAAGGAGATTATCGGGCGACGAATTAATACGATCGTTATCACTCGATGATAAATTTGATTCGGCTGAATGGTCTAGGCCGCCGCCTGAGGAATCCATATCAGTGTTCCATGACTCATATTCGGTGTAATTGGTTGATTGATTCATAAGCTAGAAGTAGAATAGAAGCAGAAGAGAAACAAAACAAACGAAATATAATTTTAAATTGCTTGTAAATTCAATTGGACATTCTACGACGACCAAGACGACGACAACAACGGCGAATCATGGGAAAAAGAGTTAATTTGTTGAGTTAAATTTCCCGATAAGTTATTGTAAAAAAGGGGAGGAAGAAACAAAATAGAAAAGGCATACAAGCAGACAGCCACAAAAAAAGAACGCATACATTAACGATTAGAAAATTAAGTAGTTGATTGATGATGGGCAAATAATGATTAATAATTCAATTGTGTTTATTTGTTTGGTTGTAACAAAACACACAATTCTCCATGAAGCGCAGCAACTTCAATGAGGGTAGAGATTAAACTTGTAAATAACAACAATCGGAACAATATAATTTTGTAATGTCGGGTTTTGATGTGTATAAATTTTGTTTATTTATTTATTTTTTGTTTCATTCTGTTCCCACTTTTGTTTTATTGAATGAATTTGCTTGTGACATTGTTGTGGACGTAAAGGGGGAAATAATGATACAGAGTATTTGTATGTGTCTGCGTGTCCGTTTAATAGCTCCATAAATTGAACGATAAACTGTTGATAGTTTGCGATAAATATCATTAAATATTATTGCCTATATAAATCTCTGCGCTATTCATGGCCAATAAAAAAAGTATTTTGTCGCCTTGTACAGAAACCTTTCGTTCTTATTTCTAACCAGATTTTCTTTCCACTTCGAATAAAAATGATTTGCAAATTTAGATGAGCAAGACGTCCGTCCGTCCATGTTAATTTGTAATCATTTTGCTTGTCAAATTTTACTGTATGGAAAGCAGGCTCCCATCTCTGATTTGTGTATATACAATGGATTTATAAACGTGAATTTTGACAATGAGATGTTGTCAATTAAATAACTTTGAAAAAATTGTAAACATATAATTGCATGACTTTACATTTTTCATTCTACCATGATTTGAGCAGTACAGTATGGCATTATTTCAAATAATCGATTAAAATGTATTTGAATCTAAGGAGATTTTTTGATATATTAATTTATAGCCTTTGCTTGTGTATTTTGGCATGTTTTTTTCAACTGGAATATCAAACACTGTTTGTTCTTTTATTTGAAGTTTTACATCCTTCTTGATATTTTAATCAAACGACTGTTCAAAGATAAACCTGAGAAAACAAGCTAGATTCATTTTACAACAATGGAATGTTTTGAGGAGTTTTGTACCATATTAAGCCAATATTTTTTCAAACTCAAAATTACAACAAATTTAACATTTTGAGATATGTGGCTGTAAATTGTTTTGTAAATATAGAAGCATTAAATGCATCATAATCTCTACATATTTTCGTCAACTCATTATCTACAACATTTTGGAGAGATGTCAAACCTAAATTCGAATTCGGTTTAGATATCGTTATCGCGAAATGCAAAAAGGCGGAACTAACAAGAAATTGAAAATTGATTTTTGGAATGAATATTGTGAATGTCAATATATTACTTTATTAACTTAGAAGAACCTTCATTGGACATGTTTAAAGTTTACATTTAAAAAGTTTTTTTTGCAACAACAATTTATATTTTAGTCAACGCCTTAGAACCTGGTGGCTATTTCCTGGTGCAACAAATCTACATAAGCATTTTATTTATAACATATATTTAGATTAGGTAAACAAGAATTCTTTCTAGAAAGTTGGAAACTTAAAGAGATATTTTATGGAAAGAAGACTTATAGTATGTACAAACCTCTCGGTACAAAAAGTATTATTGGTCAATGCATATTATAAGATTATTCCAGATTTGAAATCCGATATTGAAGAAATAATGCATTAAAACGCCATACACGTACGAGAAACTAAAATGTGATACATATAAAAATTACATATACAGGGTGAGACGACAAGGAAGTGGATGGAAGAAAACAGCAACATCAGCAGAAATGGTTTGAAAAGTAAAGAAGCGACTTGATCGAAACCCGCGTCGCAGTGGCCGAAAAAGGCTCGTAAGCTGAACATGTCAACAAATATTGAAAAATGAGCTCGAGGTAAAGCCATTGATATTCTAAAAAGTGCAAGTACTTACACCGCAACAAAAGGAAAATAGACTCATAAGAGCCAAAGAGTTGCTCCGCTTGGCCGAAAGTGGTGAACTGCCGAATTTGGTTTTCTCCAATGAGAAAACACTCGTTGTCCAGCAGTTTGTAAACAAACAAAATGATCGTGTTTTCTTGCCAAAGAGGTTAGCTGAAAATGTGCACCTTCGGTTGGCCACCAGAACTCATGCGCCGGCCATGGTGATGGTGTGGGCTGCCATAACAGCCGATGGTCGCTCTCCTCTCGTATTAATCAACCGTGGCATCAGAATAAATGCCGAATATTATCGCGAAAATATTCTGGAGGGTGTATTAAAGCCTTGGGCACGCAAACATTTTGTCCGCAGACCTTGGACATTCCAACGGGACTCAGAACGATCGCACTCAGCACGCGCCACCTAAGAATGGTTACAAAATGAGGTTCCTCGCTTCATTTCCAGCGCACAATGGCCACCAAAATCTCCGGATACCAATCCGTTGGACTTTCTGTCAGGAGCATTTAGGAAAGCAAGGTTGGCACTAAAAAGTACCAAAGTGTCAATAACCTCAAGCAATTGCTTCGCCGGGAATGGGCCAAAATTACGCAGAGTAACATTCGGACAACTTGTGACGGTTTCATTGGCCGTTTGAAGGCCATAATTCTTGCAATATTGATGCTATTTCCGACATTTTTTGCTTTCATTCAATAAAATTTAAAAAAATGTAAAAATTATTGCGTTTGACTTTGCTGCAGTTTTTTATCTCACCCTGTAAATATATACTTAAAGCCACAGCATAGGATTGAGATTCTGATATTAAAGAAATACTGTTCTACACTGAGCTGAAGTTGAAGTTGGTTTTGGTAGATTTTGGCTTTCTGCCCATTTTTGTACTCTACGGAAAGGAGAAATCCATAGGACCAAACTTTCCACAGCTTATTTTTTTGGATGAACGGATGAACTCTATAGAATTTTTGACACCTATGACCAAATTTAGACTGACAGAAAAATTTCTCAACGGTAATATAATACAAAAAGGTGAACTTGACTCATTACTTCTGTATTAACAAAAAAACATTGGTCTGAAACTAACTTAAACAAATTACAATCAATAAGATGTTTATTGCCATGAGATAACGTTTGATGTAATGTAAGCTTTGGGGAATGGTATAGTTGTTTTAATCGTTTCTCTTGCAAACTCTAAATTTTAATATCATTGTTATTTTTTAGTAATAAAAACTATTATTAACATAATTTCATTCCAAATGAAATATCATGACAATTTCTAAAGAAAATAAAGCACATACACAAATTATAAAGATCAATTGACTTTCAGATAGAATACGAAACAACGATTTCAACAGCAGTGGTTACAAAAACAAATAGCGAAATATTAGGGCATTTGAAGTTTCAACCAATTAGTAATGGGGACTCCATAGAATAAGAAAATATAAAAATACAACAACAAGATCTAATATAAAATATTACGATCCAACATAACGAAATGAGCACAAAAACACAAGAGTTCTAGTTTTACCGTTTCTTCACTGGGCTGAGACAATTTCAATAACTTATTATGTTTGCGCTGAAAAATAGTATTTTGAAAAAATAGGTTTTGTAAAAAGTATAAAAAACGAAACAATAAGAAGAACCACAATAATAAAACACAAGAATTTTCTAAATTTTTCAACAAGAAGAAGCAGGTAATTTATAGCTTTATAAAATCCTGGTAATGACGGCAACAATATGCAGACGAGTAATAGCAAGATAAAGCTTTGTTATTCCTAGAAGTGGACTTACCTTTCGGGGTGGCGCAATGGGTCCTTCATCGATTGAGCTGATACTTTCATTTGATTGGCCGTTGGATATTTCACGTTCTAAGAGGGTATTCAAAATTAATAATCTAAGGTTCCAAGGAGAGTACGGAATAAAATATATTTACCTGCAGGTGGACCTGGTGGTGGTATTTTTGGTCTTGACAATGCCGATTTATCTACATGCTTTAATGTGGGTATTTCTCCAGCTGGCGGCAGTACAAGCTTGGCTCCGGCCAAGTGTAAATTCCGATTTAATGATTCTCCACTGGGCGAACGTTTGTGACCAAATGTTGTCATGGCCGGCATAATGTGATGTCCTGCTGTTGTGGGACCACCATTTGGATCCTGTGAGACAACCAACTTATCAATACGCTCATAAAAGCTACCACCATGTGATGCTGAACTATTGTGGCCGCCGCCACCCATAATACGTGGACTGCTGTCGACGGAACGCAGTAGCGGCAGGGTACCATATGAAGCTGGATCCATTGATTGATTTTTATGATTGTGCGTTCGTATGTCATTTGTATCGAAATTTTGTGAATGCCTAGGCGGATGTGGTAATGTACCATAAAAATTTGATGATGTTGTACCGGGTGGCGGTGCCGGAGCTCGTTTCTTTAACGAGTTCATATTGGCTGTAAAGGAAATGAGAAGAATTGTTAATCAAAATAAGAAGTTAAAAAAAATAGTAAATATATTCTTAGTCTCTTGAAAAAAAAAAAATAAATAGGCAAGGAGGGCCTAGAAATCGTCTACAATTTCTGGCAAGAAATCTTGAAAATTCTTAAATAAATAATAATGAAAAAATATTCTTGAATATGAAATCAGCAGGTTTTTGAAATTTGTTTTAAAAGTCCACGATTTTTATTTAGTAGCAAAAATTGGCAAAGAATTCTTTGACAATAATAAACACTGAAGGCTTTCTAAAGATTTTTTTGGAAAGGTTATCCCGAAACTACGGACCTTTGAAGTGCTGTTCTTTAAATTGAAAATCCTCAGGGGTATGTATATAGGTGAATATGTAATATAGGTGACACTAATGGTTTCCTTCATAAAATTACTTTTCAACACCTTACATAACTGTTTCCCTTTAAGATCTCCTTCAGTTGAAGTTAGTCATTCTCACCTGTGGATGTTGATTTTCTAGCTCCTCCACCGAACTCATTGTTACTTCTTGCCAGACGGCCACTTTGGCTTGAGGCTGAACTGGGACTTGAACCACCGCCGCCAACGGCACTACTACTACCACCACCTCCAACCCCGACGCCGCTACCACTACCAACAACTCCAGCAGCTACTGCAGCATTAATGTTACCAGCACTGCCCAAATATTGGCCCAAAGACATTTGCTGTTTGGGAGATGTGCCTGCCGATTGTTGATACATCGGCAGGGTGAATTGTCGACTGGGACAATTTGCAATAGGACTAGAACTACTTTGTATTGAATCACAAGTTGAGGAACGTGAACGTAATACCGGTGAATCACCGCCGGCAAAACTGGGAGGACGTGAACGCTTCTGGAGATAAAAAAAAAGAAACGACAATTATGAAAACGTTCAAAGAAATTTAAAAAAAAAAAAACTTACACGCTCATCGATAACCGTATCATCATCCGAAAAATCTGTTGAGCCATCTTCGTTTGGCAGATTCCAATCTGTATTGATGTGATCGAAAGCACTTTTCTCACGTCGCATGGCACACTCAATCTAAAATGAAATTTTCAGTACTTCATTAATAATGTCAATTTAATTGAGAGCACAATTTTTACTTACCAATTCCTTACACACATTATGGCCCATTTCTTTGGCTATGTCCAAAGCGGTTTTATTCTGGGAATTACGTATCTCATAATCGGCCCCAGAGCGCAGCAGAAGCTTTATACACTCACGCTTATCGTGTGCCGCACACAAATGCAACGCCGTATTTTTACCCGTCACATTCAATATACTGGGTGGATTTGTGACTTTATTTAAACCTTTTGGTGGCATATTCTGTATAAGGAAATCAACAATATGCAGCGTACATCCAGTTTCCCGAAGGACAGCCAGATGTAGTGCCGTAACACCATCATCCCACGAGGGTAAGCAACATGTGAGATCTGCACCCTCTGCCCACACTTGCAGCAGTTGACTCATATCGGCATTAACCACGGCCTGTTCAAGATCACAGCGTAAATCATTCTCATCGGCACATGTACGCATCACATATCGTTTTGCCACATATTTGGCACGTATAAAATCGTATCGTTGTTCCCTGCGGACAAAAGGTGGTTATTTCCCAAATACTTTTCTCCATCAAAAAAAGCTTCTCGACAACTTGTATGTAATTAAAGTTACTATTTAACGTCTTTTTCCGTTGCTTACAACTTAGTGAAAAATTGTGTTATTAATGTTGTTAATGGACAATGTAACTTCCATCTAAGTACTATTTTATAGAAGATTAGCCTGAACAGCCAATATGCTATAACATACTAGGCTATGAAGGTTTCTTTGCAGCTTTTTGTGTAATGTTAACTTATATAAGTTTCTCTATAAAAAATGGCTTAAACTTTCTAAATTAGCATTCTTACATTGTACTATCCGGTGTTAGTTTGCCCTTGCCCAGTGTGGCTTCCATTATTTCATTTAAAGCATGATTACCCATGGCACGAGCTATCAATAAATTGGCTGTTGTTAGATTATCCAATGTCAGACTTTGTATCCGTGAATGGTGGACGCCAAGATCCCGATGGACACCGGAGCATTGAATACAAACAAGAATACCAAAATTCAGACTTATCCAGGTGACATCATTGCGTGAGCCACAGTCACAGCATTGATCATTGCCTGGCAATAATTGGACGTATCTGAAAATTAAACCAAACCCCAAAAACTTTAATAAAAATTAAAATACTTTTGCAGCACTTGGAACAGACCTGATAACAGTCTTTTGTAATTCCACCAAACTTGGACTCATTTGGGGATTTGCGTGCTGGAATGCTTTAGCTAAAGCTTTTTCTTTACAATTCACCAAAACAGCCATCCAAGCTTTTTGATCGGATTCATCTTCAGCCTGAAAATGATATGGACGATTGTCTGCACAGAAAGGAACATAATTAATTAACATATCGCTCCATCAAAGCACATATTTGGTGGGATAATACTTACAACTGATTAAATCAAAGCCTCGTTTATCATCCGGTACCGGTTTGATTTGACATGTCAGCAAATTTACTCTTGTCGGCGGTTTGGTTTCATCGGCATGACATATGTCAAGAAATCCATCACTGGTCACCCGACATCTTCGTTTTTGCCAAACTCTTCGCACTTTCCCTTCGCTTTTCTTCAATAGATGGCCGGAACGTGTAACACCATGATGTTTATCACCCTGCAGCTGATGCAGTGAATAACCCGTTCCACCTCCACCCTTGTCGGTGGGTACATTTTCCACACGTTCAAAATCGGGTGTGCTCCGCAGCAGTGTTCGCAATTCTAAGAGGCTGCGACGGTCTTCATCCTGGCGCTGTTTAATTTTATGCAATTTGTCACTTAAATCACTGATATATGTTCCGAAATGTTCGATCGTTTGGAGGCCATCTTTGAAATAGCTGTGGGGATGAAGTGAAAAGAGTTGTGGTTAATGGAATATTTGTTAGCAAGTTTTCAATATGAGTTTGCCTTCCAAAATTGTTGGATGGAAAATTAAACTTCCAACGTGTTTAATTTAAACTAAGTTGCTTTCACCCTACTTTTCTACAGAAAAAGGTGCCTTCGACTAGCGTTTCTATGGAAAAACTTGCCATGAAACATTTTTTCTATAGGAAAAATTGCTTCCCCATATTTTTGGACAAATTTGTGGGAAATGTGGCAAAAATCATCAAATTACCGAATATCGGGAGGTACCGTTATATGGGGGCTTTCAAAATATTTTTTATCAGAATACTGAAAACAAATTATTTGATTCGATATCGAAAATTTTCGATCGAAATTAATTTTGCATGGGACTTATTGATTAACAAAATCAAAATTTCAATATTAAGTTTTGCATCGAAATTTTTAATTTAATCAAGTTTGAGTTTATATAGAAAAGACTTATTCTTCTATCAGAAAGGCAGTCTTCCTCTATGAGAAATGTAGTCTTCTCACAATTTTTTTATAAGAAAAATGACCTTCCAAGCCTAAGTAAAGACGTATTTATGCTCAATAACATCTCAATTTATTTCTTGCCTCCCACAGCCAAAATACCAGACGCAATACGCCCACCTCAGTTTCAATCACCCGGTATAATTGGTGGTGTCATTGAAGAACAGCCGGCTTAAATTTTACTATTCAAATCATGCACTTGATATATAAGGTAAGACATATGGACACTTTATGCGATAAACCTGTAGCAGGCACACATACTTAGAATGTGGCCTATGCAATAGCTCGTCACTTATTTGTCTACGTTACACAGGGAGATTGAAATTGAGATTGCGCTGGTGTGATGATGGCTATGGACTTAAATTATTGTCGCATTTATTTTATCTTTTAGATGCCAACCAAGAGTGGCAACGTTCCATAATCAGAGATGAATGTAAAAAAAAAAAAAAAACAACCAATGATATCCATAACAATAAACAACATTCAATACATCATATCGAATTGATTCGCATCGTATCGTACCGTATTGTAGCAGGCAACATACTTACTTATTCAAAGCATGATAGTATTCGATGAAATGCTGCAGCAGTTCGATGCCAGTTTTTGTTTTGATTTCCTTATATTTCAATAAATACTGGAAAGAAAAAAAAGAAAAAGAAGAAAATAAACAAAAAGCCCAATAAGAGCAACAACGAATTTAAATGCAAAAAATAAATAAACAAACAAAAAAAGGAAGGTAAACAATGTGTACTGTGTGTTTTTGCACACAATACAGGAAATGAGGGAGGGGATGGGCAAAAATTTGTCCAGCTTATATTACATTAATGGATAATAATGTAATCGACTGATGGCGGTGATGGATGGACAGATGGGGAGAGACACACACAATGGGAGGAAATTTAATGTGAAACAAAAAATGCGAACAACAATTGGGAGCGATATAGAATAAAGTACAAAAATTTGTCTATAAAATGGTGTGGCCCAAGGTTATTTTAAACATTGAGAAAAGAAAAGATGTATTATATATATTTTTTCAATAAGAAGAGTTGTTTCCTCAACAAATTTAAATAAAAAAGTTATCCCTTAAAATTTTATTATAGAAAAGTTGTCCATCAAAGAAATTCTCAAATCTACATTTGAAAAAGTTTAAAAAAATTCCTGCAAGCAACTCTTCTGAGGGAAAATCTGCCTTCTAAAAGCTTATCTAGAGGAAAATATGTGTTTCAACAAATTTTCTACGAAAAAACTTGTGTTCCAAAAAATTGTTTATGGGAAAACCTGTGCTAGGCTAGGATTTTTACAGCAAAATATGTTCCCCAACAATTATTCTATGAAAAACCCGGTTCTCCAACAACTTTTCTTCTTTTCTAACTTTTCTATATGAAAATACGTGTTCCAACTACTTTTCTGTAGGAAAAACTGTTCTCTACCAACTTTTCAATAGGAAAAAATGTCCTCAAATAATTTTTCTATAAGAAATAAATCTTTTAAAACATTTGCTATGAAAAAGTTTTATCTCAGCAGTTTTTTTTATAGGAAAAGCTGTCCTTCAACAACTGTTCCACAGAAAAAACTTTTCTCCCTAAAAAATTTTCTTCCAACAACTTTTCTGTTGAAAACGTTTCATTTGATTAAGTCTTCTATTGGAAAATTGACTTCCAATAATTGTTCCATATAAATATATATCACATATATGAAGATGGCCTTCTGCCAACTATTCTCTGAGCAAAGTTGCCCTCCAAAAACTCTGCCATGGAAAACGTTGCCTTTCGCCGACACTTTTTTGAGAAAAATATCCTTTCATCAGCTTTACTTTAAGAAAAGTTACTTTTCAACAACTCTTCTTTGGGAATCATTAATTTTTAATTAACTTTTCTATGAAAAAACGTTCTAAGAACATTTCGATAGATATAGTCAATGGAATTTCTTTGGCAACAGTAGTTCTTCCTCAAAAACCTTTTTTAACCATTGGAATCGCTTACTTCGGAAGGTCTATGAAGAAGACTCACTTTTGTAGAAGCTCATCTATAGGGAAGACACAGCACCCTGTTCGTCTGTAAAGAAGTCTCCCTGACCTCAGCTCGTCCGTAAAAAAGTCTCCTGACGTCAGTTCGTCCGTATAGAAGACTCTCTGCTCGTCTATAAAGAAGATTGCCTGGGCTCAGCTCGTCTGTAAGAACACTTCCCAGCTCGTCTATAAAGAATACTACCTGACCCCAACTCATCTATGAAAAAAAAACTCCTTGACCTCAGATCGTCTGTAAATGTCCCTGACCTCATATCTCATCTATGGAAGACTCCCTTACCTCAGCCCTCTTTGAAGAGGACTCCCTGGCCTCAGCTGGTGTAAAAAAGTCTAACTGTCCTCTGCTCGTCTATAAAAGACTTCCTGACCTCACAGGCCGACTATGAAACAGACTCCCTGTCAACTCCCTTTCAACTATGCGTTAAATGTTTTGCTTCGTATTGAAAAAATTATCCTCCGAATAATTTTCATACAACTGTTTGTTGTTAAACTGCTTTCGATAAAAGCTATTGTGTCGGATCCATCCCATTGTGTTTTCATGTAAATACGAAAATTAAACGAATAACGCGAAAATTTCCATGAACTGTTTACATACTTCACAGGTCTGTAACTGATATAGTCGACGTTCTTTTTCCATTTCATCGGCCACAACAGCAGCATCGATTTCTGTTCGCACCATACCCGCCTCTTTGGCCTGGGCCTTTTTCTCCTTTTCGATTTTAATGAACTTCGCTTCGTAGTCTTTAGCAGCCTTGTCGAAGGGCCTCTTCATGTCGCCCTTGACACCACGTAGCTCACTTTTCAACATTGAATCGACCGGAAACATGACAATATTGTTGATATTTTGCATCTGGGCGGAGAAAAAGAAAGAAAAAACAATTAGCTCAGAAGAGGGTAAGAATAACGGATGCCATACTTACCAATGTCTTCATTAATGCACTCAACTCTTTTGTCACCACTGAGAATTTAAGGAATGCCGCTCCTATATCAGGTTCATCCTGATCGATTACCTTGCCGCCGAGACGTTCAAGGGCCCTCACCAGAAACATTTCATTGTCGACATGAGCTGTAATAAATGAATGAGGATAAGTTGTAAATTAATTAACTCTTAAAAGGGCATGTGGGGTATTCTTGGAATGGTAAAGCAATTAAGCCGTACATCGTCGAACAAGGTGTTGTGGTTGGTGGTGGTAGTGTTGGGTTGGGGTATAGATTGTGTTAAGTATTTTATGGAAATTAGTTTATGACAGGAGGACAGGAGACAGTGTCGTGAAGAAGGAAAATGTCACAAGATGTGCGACATAAATGACATTTTTGTTCTCAATTTGCGAGTTTGTTGATAGCAGACTATTGGGTCGGTGGAAGAAGGAATTGCCGCCTAGAGGCCTAAGAATATCCTTGCTTTTCAAAATTCATCTTAAAAGTTTTTCTCTGATTTTTTCACTGTAACATGTGTGCACATTTTACATTGGAAATTTGTTTGTAGCAGTTGGGTCGAGTGAGTGAGTGGATGCCTCGTTGTTCGCTTTACTATATGTGTTAGTGTGTATCTGTGCTACAAGGAGTATTTGAAAATAAATAAAAAAAAATCCATACTTGTATGAGTTATCTAACTATACCATAACAAGTTGTTGCAGGTGGCGGTTGTGGTGTTGATGTGTTGTTGAATTGGATAGATTGTCGTTGCAACCATGGCTATGTTTGGCATGCAACAATATGCTTGCACACACGCTTTACCCACTTGTTACTACTCAATTTAGAGACACATCCATTGCACTTTAATACATATAGGAGGTATGGTGATGGTGGAGTGGAGGTTAATTTCGCTGGAGGTGGATTTTTTATTTTTGTTTTAAAAATACTTACTATTTCCTGAATTGTGTATGGCCTTGACTGCTTTTTTCAGTTTTGTTAATCCTTCACGGTCAAATTCCAGGCGCTGCAACGAAAGAGAAATATAATGGAAAGTTTAGTATTGGTCATGTTAAGAAGGGTCAACAAATATTCTTCTAGTAAGAAGTTTTCTATATTCTAAAAGTTTTTTTTTTTTAATTTAAAGACATTTTTGATTTAGAAGTCACAAAATTAGATCTGGTACCTTAAAAGAAACACCTGGTATGAAAAGTTGTGCAGTTCTAGTTATAAGGGTTAAAGATGTATATTTTTATGTATTTTATGCTTTGTCATTTATAAAAAAATATTTGAGCAGTGACGAATCTAACTTGAAATTGCGGGTTGTGAGATAAATATGTGGCTCTTAGGCGAATCTAAATAAGTTGCCGCGCATAGGTGGTAAGTCTGAGGAGAGATTCTGGGTTTAAATGTACATGTACCAGTAATTGCTTGAAGAGCTAAACAAGCAATTGCAAATTTATTGACATTCTACCTAAACACCTTATCTTTTAAATTTCTAGAAAGACGACTACAACGACTGCTAAGACGACATATCATGGGGAGACGAAATGGTTGTAAACCTCAAAATAGAGGATCTCCTTTGGGTGCTTTATGTGGACGACTCCGCAGTGATCAAAAAACTTTGGACAAAGACATGCAATTCTCTGAATTCAAGTCTACCTTTCTGTAGGTCTTTGTTCCGATAGGCTGTCTCTTCGGTTGAAAGAAAATTCCAAAGTGATATCTCTCCCACGGGATGGATGAAATTCCAAACTATTATCTATAAAAAAAAGACTCTCCGAATTCATGTGTCTTTAGTCAATAAACCTGACCTCAGTTCGTCTATAAAGATTTCCGTATCTAAGCCAGTCTACAAAGAAAACTCCCTACATATGAAAAAGACTCCTTGAAGTTAGCTCGTCCTCTAGTCAATAAACCTGACCTCAGTTCGTCTATAAAGCTCTCTAGCTCATCCATGAAAAAGACTCCCTGACCTCAGCTCGTCTATAAAGATTACTCCCTGACCTCATCTCATATTTAAAGAAAAGTACTCCCTCGTCTCAGCTCGTCTATGAAGAAGGCTTTCGGCCTCAGAGGGTCTACAAAGAAGACTCCCTGACCTCAGAGTGTCTACAAAGAAGACTCCCTGGACTCAACTAGACCTGAGCTCATCTATAAATAGGATTCTCTGCCATTAAGGATGTCTAAAATTTTAAAAATAAAAAAAATGGTGCCATGGTACAATGATATCAAGGTAGGGCTATGATACCATATGATTTCAATTTTTTTATTTTCTTGGCTTAATATGCCATCTTTATTTGTTTATGTATGTGTTTTCTTTTCAATAACAAAAAAATTGTTCAGATAACATTCAAATTCGGATGTTTTCAAAATGTTTATTTCATCGTATGCATCGACAAAATCTAGACTTTTTGTAGCGAAATAATCATTTAGAGATATATAGAACCTGGTTTTGAAAAGAAGTGTTGACCTTTCATTCAGTTTTCGCGGTTTTCAATTATTTATTCAAAATAAATGCTACAAGCTGTTTGATTTTGTTATTGTTTTGATACTATTTCTGACATTACAAGCCAAACAGGCAGACCTCTATACTTGCAATTTTTTCAAAGTTGACCTACCTTCTCTTCATTGTACCATGCAATCTTGAAGCTTTTTATTTCCATTGATTAGAAAAAATCTTCTTGGACATTTTTTTTATTCACGACTGTAAATTTTAAATTTTCATATTACTTCAACAAGAAATTCAACCATTTGCGGCGGTGGCAGAATTTGTGTAACAAATATCAATCTTGTTAATATCATTGACTATCAGCAATGCTAGAGGAAATCCGACGAACCATATTAAGAATTCCAAATTTAAAATCTCCGCTTTTTATTACTTCCATATTGAATTTAAACAAAAAAAATATATATATATTACAATTTCCCCCCAGTTACCAAATGTGGAGGCAAGTGTTGTTTTATCGATGATACATAAAAAAATAAAAACAAAAAATTAAACGCCACGAAAGAATTTATGAATGAATGAATTAAAATACGATGTGCACCACTTAACATACAAAAATCTTCTATAGACTGGAAGCAAAAAAGAAAAAAAAAGAAAAAACAAAACCAACTATAAGTAGATCTAGAGAAAATAAAAATAAAGGCAATAGTGCTTAAGATATGATGAAGAAGAAGACAAACAAGAAATTCCCCCTCTTCAATCTCTAGCAAATTGAAACAGATTCATTCCAATTCAGAAAGTGAGTGCGACGGCAACGTCATTGACAATAATAACAAGAACAACAATCACAACAAATCGGTGTATAAAAATGTTTTCAAAATGTACACGAGTAAATGCCAAAAAATACAGAAAAAAGAGCAACAACAAATACTGAAGCGTACATCTGTCAAGTTGATTTTTTTTTGTGTATAAAATGGGAATCGCAATTCCAATTTTTGTTATCCAAAAAAATGAAAAGAAAACAAAGGGGCCACAACAAACTGTCAATAGCTTCAATACAAACACAAATCTTAAATTGTGTGTATTTTTGTGATGGATTTTTGGAAGAAAGAAAACTTCAAAAGCTTAGCCTCCATCGAAAATGAAAAGAAATCTGCGGCCGAAATAAAGTATTTGAAAGCAACTTCAAAATGTCTTAAAACGGAACTCAATCTCTGGTTTTTCTTCAACAATTATTTACATCCGGTATAAAAGTGCTATAATACACAACATTGCATGTATGTACAACATAGCAAACCCAACCAACTAATTGTTGGGTGACCGATATATCTGCGCAAAATCAGAACGAGCTTCTTAACGAATTCCATTAACTAGTGTATTTATTGTCAAAATTCTTTTTAGAAGATATCGCTTTTTTAACTTTATGCCTACAGAAATTATTCTACATTTCCCAACAAGAATTTAACCCAAAATTTCCTCATTCCCCCTATATATGTCTGAACCCTTATGACTTTGTTTGCTGGGTATTTACACACTTTTAAACATAAACATGTTTAAACTCTTTATGTGTATAGGCAAGACAGGCACATTGACGTATGTCGTCCTACATGTGTATATTCCCCATCTACCCTACAAAACTCTCCCTAAGTATGAATGTAGTTTAAGTGCAACAGGCACTTAACCGAACAACAACAGCAAAAGCAACAACAACAACAAGAAAATGGAAACTAAATAGTTGATTGCAACAAATCTTACACGAAACCTCTTAAGAAAGAAGCAAAAAAACAAACAGGACATGAACAAAGATTTACAAACAACAAATGGGGTAAGTGTACCAGTAGTCGGCACTTTTAGTATTTTCGCGTTTTTAATCGTTCGCCATTCTGAGCGGAACTTTTTAATTGTAACAAAGTTAATTTATTCATATTCGAAATTTTGTACAGTTTTTGCAATAATAAATAAAGTTTTAATAACTTTTTATTAAATTTCATAAATTTGTAGTTTTATGAAAACAATGCTTTTTTGCCAGTAGTCGGCACCACTTGCCAATTGTCGGTATGGCATGTTCCAACAGTCGGCATACCAATTTTTTTGTAAGAATAATTAATAATAATAATAAATTTATTCACTAAAATATAATATTTTTGTTTAGTTAAACTGATTCGACGTCTTTATTCTACTTTTCTTAAGAATAAGGATTGTTGAGGACCTTCACAGACAAAAATTTAATTTTTATTAGAATAAATCATCTTTTCTTAGCGAAATTGTACACAAAGATAGCTGACAATATATTTGAAGTAAACAAAATACATTTAGTTATAATAGTTTCATTTATTTGGGCTTAAAAATAAAAAGTGCCGACTACTGGGACATGCCGAACTTAGGCACACTTACCCTGTATGACCTTAATTTATTATTGTTCAAGGAATAGGGATGGGGAAATTTTACAACAAGGGTAGGAAAGAATGGTGAAACATCTGAAATGAGTCCAAATTGGAACAGAGAGGAGCATAAGGATATATAGATAGACCTATGAGTTGAACACATAAACTTCTATCTTAATACTAGGGGTAGTAGTTGGTGAAAAGATGCGAACTAGTTTAATATTCTAAAGGATCTCTTTTCTCTTTTCGGTATTGCTCTTTAGCCACTATAAGTATTTTTCGATTTTTAATTTTCATACGCTCTAAAAACTATTAAATTATCAACGCCATTAACTTCTCATTTTTAACTAATCCTATTCTAGGAGACATTTTGTTAGGCCTATTTTGCCCCATACAGCATTATTAGAAATGACAACCAACGTTTTCTCTCTCTGCATTACAAGTATCACAAAAAACAACTATTCGTTTGAAAAATATGGCTAAGATTATCAAAATAACCAAATTCATTTTTCACTCACTAAGAATTGAAAATACAAAAATTGGCCAAGATTAGGTTTAAATTTAAAAATACTTGAAATCAGGATGTACCCTTTATATGGGACCTATATCAAAAACTGGACCGATATTGAACATATTTTGTACCAATGATTCCAGATCTAATCTAAAGCTCTCTATTACATTTCAAAACACTATCTTAAATTTTGCTCATTTTCATTTAGGAGCTAATGTCAGGGAGGTCATCTTCTTTGTAGCCGAGCTGAGGTCGGTGATTTTTTTAGACCAGTTTAAGTCAGGGAGTACTATTCCTTCCATACGAGTTGAGGTCAAGAAGTCCTCTTCTTTATAGACGAACTGAAGCCAGAGAGTCTTCTTTACAAACGAGCATGCGTTAGGGAGATTTCTTTGTAGAAAACCTGACGTCTTCTTCAGAGACAAGCTGAGGTCAGGAGCTCCTTTATTGACGACCTGAGGTCAGTTTGTCTTCTTCATGAACGAGCTGAGGTCAGGAAGTCCTTTTCTTTATAGACGAACTTAGGTTAGAGAGTCCTCTTCTTTATAAAAGAGCTGGAGACAGGGAGTCTTCTCTATAGACAAATTGAAATGGGTAGCCTTCTTAATACACGATCTGAAGTCAGGGAGTCTTCTTAATAGACGAACTGAACACAAAAATTTTGTTTGGCTTCTTTATTGAGG